GGGAAGAGAGAAAAAAGTGGGAGACGGGAAAAGAAGAATGCATCATAGAGAGAGGAGGGAAAGAAAGAATTAGGTGTATAGTAGCTAAAGAAAGAGATGGTAGAGAAAACTGTAAAGAGAATGAAGGAAGAGGGTGGTAAATGATAAATAGCAGAGATGGAAAAAGCATGAGAGAGAGAGAAAGAGTAGAGAGACCACAGAACGGATGTTTGAGAGAAGGGGAATAAATGATGCCCAACCCCCCCTCTCCCTCCTCTCTCTCCTCTCCCCTCTCTCACTCTCTGCTCTCCCCCCTCTCTCAGTCTCTCTCTCTCCTCTCCCCCCTCTCTCACTCACTCCCTCTCTCTCTCCGTCTTGTTGTTTCAAACAATAGACACAGACTCCCTCCCTCTATCACACACACACACACACTCAGCAAGAGGCAGCACAGCTACACAGGAGCCCTGAGAAGAGAATTAAAAAAAAAAATATAACAAAAAAAAAAACAACAAAAAAAAAATATCAAACCAACAAATATAAAACAACAACAAAAAATATATATATATCCAAAACCAACACCATCTTACACCGCAAGCCGTTTTAATGCCCCACCGGCCGACTTGTGATGGACGTTAGGTTCTACCCTCCTGCCCCCAGCAGCGTGGGCACCTTATCCGCAGACCCCACCTGCCTCAGCCCCCTGGACTTTTACCACTGCAACAAGGTACAGTCTTAACCCTTTCTGGGACTGCTGCTTCACCCCATGTTCTCTGCTTTCTGTGCCTGGGCAAGAAGGGGTTAAGGCCAGTCAATGGGAGAAGGGTAGAGGTGATGGTGGGGGTGTGGGAAGGGGGGATGCACAAACTTTGGTGTGACAGTATTGTATGGGATGCATGGATGGATGTTGCATGGAATATTAATGTTTGCAGAGTGTCACTTTTCTGCTCTTACCCCTGTGTTAAAAGAGGTATCCGGTAAGAAGTTATTTACAATCCTGTACCATGCTAGTCTGGGTGCCAAGGTGCCAATCCACTTGTTTTCTCTGATCACCTTGGCAGTAGGGTTTGGATAGTTACTAAGTAACATGTGACAAAGAATTTCTAAAATGACTGTGAAATACAAGCTCTGTAATATTTAATACTGATGATCAGGGTAACAGTCTGGTTGGGAGTATGGCTTTAGATTATTTAATAACTAACTACCTTTATCCCTTATAACTCCCATAGATTGTAAACCTTTTTTTTTTTTTTTTTCAATTTCCTATGAACAAGCATCACATTGCCGGGCTTTTTTATATTTCCCTCTTTTTAAAATGAAAAAAAAAGTATTATTGTGTCTTTACTGTGGGATGGGAAGAGCACTGAACAGCAGGGCAGAGATGCTGACAAGGGTTAGATCTATAATCTGACAGTATTGAACAGGTAGACCTTTTAATTTGCACAGGGGTGTACATACACACTCCTACAGCCATTCAAAGGCTTATTTATTGAATGGCTCAGCCTCTTAGATAGTAGTTTACAGGTCTCTAAGGGAAGGTGTGTTTATCTAGCATCACCCGGGTCCCTGCACAGTCCAGTGTGACATTCCTGATGGGATAGAAACACCTTACAACTTAACTTAATTTGTCTCTGCTATTGGCTACACTGTATCAACTGTCCTTCCCAGTCCAAAAAAAAAAAAATTCATCCCCAGCCCAATCCCCCCCACCAACCCATTTCTGTTACATCCACCCTCCTTTTTCAGGCCATTACAAATAAATGATTATAGAATCACACTTTCATTCCCATTGAAATGTGCCTTTGTTTTAACCCTACATTTCCTATAACAAGTTCCAAAAAAAAGAGGGGCGAAAAAATTTGACATTTAGTTGTTATTAACCCTTTGTTGCTAGCTGTGATTGATTTTGCTATATGGAGCAAGAACATATTTTTTTTTTTCTGTAATGAAGCAACCAAACATCATTGTATAGCTGCATACAGGAAAACCCCCCATGCCATTTGCAGCATCAGGCTCTTAGACTAAACTTGCTCTGTGCATGGTAAGACGTGTCTTTGAGAGGGGCTTTAGAAAATATAGAACAATCCGCATCTCAATCATTCAAAACAATGTTTCGGATATTAGACAAATACCTAAGGGTAAGTACACCGAGAAATGTTTGTATTTTATATTTTAATTAAGGCTTTCAAGCTAATTGCAATATTCTAAGTGAGGAAGGCTTATGAATTGAGTCTCAGATTTTACATATTAAGCGAGGCTATATTATAGCAGGTGCATTATTGAAAAACGTACTGTGTTAGTGTTTGATTATATATTTTAACGCTGTTGTGTTTCTAGTAGCTTAGATGTTGTATGTAGTAACCATTGTCCCATGGCTAATGTGACTTTGTGGAATTAGTGTTGTAACCTAGAGGCTTCATCTTTGAGAGAGCCCTAGGGGGCTTTGTGTGTCCTTTCCCACCACATGTAGCATTGAAAGAGTTAAATATTTATATTAATGTAATTATTTCTGTCCAATATTGCGTTTTACAAGTTTTCGCTGTTGATCCACAAAATCGAGGAACAATAATATGCATTGAATGCTTTGCTTATTAATTACACCTACTAATTTTTTTTTTTGGACTTATCTTGTGGGAAAAGGGTCTCGCTGCGTGACCTTTCTTAGACTTTTAGACTTAATAATATCTGTCGTTGCATCTTCACTTAGGACACAAAACGGTTTATGCACTAGTGACTTGTGGTAAGTTGATAACCGACAAAATTTAGGCCAAAATTGTCAAATTGGGAAAAAATACGAAACTCAGAAAAATCATACTATGAATAATTGCTCCGCATGGAAATTTTTAAAATTTCATTTTTATTGCTGCATTGTTTGCGAACATCCTTAAGCAGTTTGAGTCTGGTTCCTTGCGCCTTTTCTCTTAATTCTGTCTTTTTATGATTTGATATTGTTAATACTGAGTTATGATTATCTATATGTATGTAACATTGAGCTGTGTCTTTTCGTTGATGGCAAAATCCCATTTATGTGGAAAAATGATCAGTGGATTGTCAGAGATTATTGGGCAAGACGAATGTCCTGTTATACTATGTTAACAGGAATGTATCAGAAGAAAAGTTTAAGTAAAAGAACAGGTGAAGAACAGTTAGTTGTTTTTTATTTTTGTGGTTCAAAAAATATTTTGATGTGGAAATGTGCTGGTATGATCTATCTATCTATCTACTTGTGCTCACACACAAAAATACAAATATATTTGCATCTATGTATATTTGTGTACCTATAGACAGCAAAAAGATCTATATGTACAAACATATTTATATTTATATTTAAGTAATTTCAAGAGTGTTTATTAAATATTCTCTGTAAGTGTGCGTGTTTATGTAAACAGTTGCCCAAATACACGTGTGTGTCATTCTCTGTGTGTATGTATGTATGTTTATTTATATATATTTTCACACACATATATATATATATATGATATGTATATATTTTTATATGTATAATTTCCAATGCTTTCATATAGTATAAATTCTAAGAATTCTTACTATATATATATATATATATATATATATATATATATATAGTCATAATGCTACCAATGGCAAGTGAGCTGTTGTCTGTGTATAACATCTAACTTATATTGATTAAATATTAGAAGGCAAATTATGTAAAATGAGTGTTATTTCAGAGAGGTTAATCTTCCAACTAATTCTCAACTTTTTCAGCAATGCATTACTGGCACTGAAAGGGTTAAGAAAGGCGCCAACAGCACGCTTCTGTAATATGTTCCATAACAGAGTAGTATCAGGTAAAGCTGGTTGGATGCCAGGCTAAAACTTGCAGTTAGGATAGGGAGCCTATTTGTGCCAATCTAAGTGGCCTCACCTATTACAGGCCTCTGCCCACAAAAGAGTTAGTGTAAACATGGTACTTGGTGATATGCTCAGTGCTACACAGTGTTAGTTAGGTGCCCAGGAGATATAACGGGTCCTGTTTATAAAACAAGCAAGTTAGCAGCGTACTAGAGAAGCCTTCATTGCAAACCTGGTGTTAGCATAGCAATTATAATATATTTTTCTGTATCTGTTAAAATGTGCATACTTGATATGTATACATTAATCTGGAAAGTGAAAGGATTTTTTTTTTTCCATTTGTGCATACAGCTGTGTCATATCTATTATACATGATAGACATGAGGGTAAAAAATAGCTGACATTTTCTGTCATGTAGATCATGTGTGTTTTAATATATGTATATATAAATATACATGTTTTCATTTTAATTAATTTTTTAGCATTTTAAATATTTTATCTCTCAGTTACGGAATAAGTATGATTCATACAATGTACAAATCTGAAACAGGTACAACATTAAAAATAATGAGGTTTATCTATATATTAAGAATGTATTAGATTTTGTGATTCAGTCCCCCACTCACTAAGCGCAAACCTGATTGACAGGTCTGATTTTCAAGAGGCTGTGCAGCATATCGTTTTAATAACACCAGCTTGAAATAGGGCACAAATTTTAATTATCTTATTTGTTGAACCGCCTGTAATATTTACACTAATGTAAACATTTGTAGTTTTCAGTTAGAAATAGATTTAAAAACACTTACTTTATTTGGACTGACAGTAAACTTGAATTCAGTGCTAGCACTTTGAATTGATTCTACAACTTGGAGAAGGATGCTTAATAGACCTGAAAGGGTTAATGTTGGCCTGCATGGAGGGGGGATGGGATATCCAGCAGCTAATATATGTAGTTAATATGTACTCATTTTTTTTTTATAGAAATAAAACTAGTGTGGAAATAAAATGCTTAGCCCTGAAAGACATTTTAAGATGTTTATGCTATACCAATAACAATAATAAAAAGTATACAATATTTTGTTACAAACAAAACATTTAAAGTGGATAAAAACATAATAATGCTCCAAATATTTGTAAAACCGTTTTCAGTTTAATAATTTTTAAAACACTCGTATTTCTTTTTTTTCAAAGTAAAATGTTAAGATAAAAACAAAGACAATTTTGACTATATTTGTAAATATGTGTGTGTGTGTGTGTGTGTATATATATATATACATATATATATATACACACACACACACACACATATACAAATATAGTCAAAATTGGCTTTGTTTTATATATATAAAACGGTACACTTTGTTTATATAAATATGCATGTATAATATATATAGAATGTAAAGGTCATAAAAGTTGTGGTCAGAATAAAAAATGTTGAGCAAGTGCTCTAATGTATGAAGCACAGTTTTTAATGTGTTCGTATGCTTCATCAGCACTTTAAAATATACATTAGAAACCATAATTAATCATAGCAATCTAAGAAACCTAATATGTTTTCTGCATTCCCAGAATGCACTGCAATGATATGAAGACAAGCACACACATTTTTAGATTTCACCCACATATGTATGTGTATATGTGGGCATTTATTTACCCAGTACTAATCATTGTTCTGAAACACACCAACTTGTTTTATGATGCAAATTCCAAGCTCTGTGCAGAAGTCGGGTATGTGAAAATAGAATTATAGTTGTATACACCCAAAATAGCACGCTATATAAATACAGTGTAACATATATCGCAACATCAGTTCTAAATATTACCACTTGGTGTCACTGTGGCCCCTGATTCAATAGGTCAGAGATAAGAAAAGCGAAATTGGTTTGTCTGTTAGATTAAGTCGAAAAATTAAACCTTGTGTTCAACATTCTGCTTTTTTGATGTTAAAAAGACAATATTCAATATCTTGGGTTGGTAGCATTTAATGAATTGCACCATTTTGGGCTTTTGTAGCCACAACTGCCAGTCAATCTCTTTTTTTGTAATAGTTTATGTTAAAGTAATTGATTAATGATGTCTCAGTTAGAAACATTGTGAAACAAAGGGTTGTGGTTAGTAATCTGGGACCTAATCTGGGCCTCCTGTTTTTGATAACCAGTAAAACATCTGTTGATTAAAAAGGAATTGAATGTACAGGTTTGTTCTGTTATAAAAAAACAAGAAGATTAGGGATAAGCAGGTCATTTTGAAGCATTGCAGAATTATAGAACTAATAACTTGCTACAACACGTGTCTGTCTTAATGACACGGTTTAAAGTCACGTCCAAATAAAAATACAACATATTTAATTAAAGTCACATCATCTGATTATACTATTTATTATTTCATATTATGCCAGTCTCAGTTGATCGCCTGAATGTTATTGGCTGACATTATAAAAAGCAGACAGTGGTAGCTCTCACTGCTGTGAGGATCTTCTAAAAGGGGTAGACGAGAAGCATTTAGCATTGACAAATATTGTAATTAAAAATGGGTCTGACAGATTTAAATAACAAAGATATCCTCAGAAAGGCAATCATTTTCCTAGTCTGCTTCAAATGGCTTTGTTTACAAAAACAAATCTTTTTCAGTAAAGTAAATCTCATGCACCACCCAGTGGCTCAGGATATATCAATATAATGTACTTATTGGATCAACATTAGTAAATATCTAAATTACAAACCATTAGAACTGCCAGCAAGGGCTTACCTATAAGGGCGGCGGGGCTTCTAAAGGCAACTCCCCACCAAATCATTTTTTGGGTATTAAAGGGAGTGTTAAAATGCACATTTTTATTTATATAGTAAATGTACAGCATACTATACAGCAGTGCTACAATTTCACCTTACCTTCTTCCTCCATAGCACAAACTGGCTGACTGATTTATAGTGGATGTATGGAAAAGCTGTTGGGAGCAGCTAGGCATGTGTAGAACATAGGTCGCTTGTGAAAAATGTCCAATCTCTGTAGACCTCAGACATGCTCAGTCTGCTCCTAAAGTCAATTTGTGATGTCACCCATTTAGATTGCACAATGGTGTCCGAACCTGGACATCCTACTAGTAATAGTTCAAAACGTTTAAATCTCATTTTTGTGTTGAAATCATTGCCTGGAGCTACAGTTTCAGGTTTGTAATGCACTTAGTCACCACTTAAGTCTCTTTTATTTTTGCACACTTTATATCTTTCTTTCCTCAAGTGTATCATAATTTGTACATTTATATTTTGCTGCCATATGTATAATGCTTGATATATTTTTGTCCATGGCCTTATTAAAACTTAGACTAACGACACTAATCTCATTGAGTTTCTGTGGTGTTAACATGGAAAGGTGAATATGTTAGCTTACTAATATATTGGTCTGTGTAAAAATGATAAATTCATTGCATGTAATGCCTCAAACATGTTTGTTTTTATTTAAGAAAAATCATAACAAAATATATTTTCTATTCCCTCACAAGTAATTGAACCCAGGCTGCTAGAGTGGAAAACAAAGCACTTAGGACCTGGGCCTTATTAGAAGATGCACAACTAATAAAATACTGTTGTGCATCACTGGCATATCTATCTAAAGTTTACATTTGCACCAATCAGTGGGGAGACACATAGAGTGGGTGTTTCAGGCCATTGCAAGCAAATGAAATACATATCCTGTGACTACTGTGACAGTAATCTGGTGTTATGAAGAAAACAGTGGCAGCAGAGTGAATGTTGGAGCAAAGTTGGAGCAATAAATTATCAAGTGCATGATTCTTCTAATTTAGTGAGTGCATATTTAGCGGAATGCAACTTTGTATATGTATTCTATATATTCTATTTATTTTAAAAAATGAGTGTCAGCGCTATATTTTTGAAAACATTATTTAGGTAAAGATTTTAAGGAACTTTATTTTGTGTATAGCTGCTGGATTATATTATTTTTATTTTAAGGAATTTTAATTTACTATAGTTGCGCTCTCCTGTGTGATTTTTATTTTTATATTCTATTTATTATTATTATTATTATTATTATTATGTTATTATTTATTTGTCTTTTATACATTTTTCCTCTTCTGGTGTTCAATAATATTTAGTTTGGCTGCTAATTTTGTCAGTCTGGCTCATATATTCTGTGCATATTTATCAACCCATACTATTCGACATTTATGGTATATATTATACCTGTAAGCTGTAACTGCTACTACCAGTGTTATTTTTAACTAATTTGTTTATAATATTGTTTCTCCACGTTCGAAATAAAGATCACTGATATCTAAGTGATGTTGCATTAATAATTATTACAAGGATAAGAGAGAGGTTGTTAGAGAGTAACAACAGTATGCAGCCTGAATTTAATGTTTGGCTTGCCAGTAAGTCTCCCATAACAGTAGTTTAATTTAGAAACACTTACTTAAAAATATACAGACTTAAAATATTTTGCAGGTATACTACAATATATAATTTGTTTTGACAGTTTGATGGTCTGTGCCTGTGGTTTACATAAGCCATTGTAAGAAATTTTAGGTTGAATTTCAGAACTGTAAGCAGGCCCTTTGCTTCCATGGAACAGTATGAAGAAAATGCAATATAGAAATTTCTTATGAAACTGACAGATTATCCCTTAAAATACTCAGTATACATACAGTAAAGCAATCTATTCTACAGTCAATGTACTTTGGATTCAATTCACCTCTGGTCACAAGGTCTGAGATTTTATATAGATGCATGATTTAAAAAAAAATAATATTCTTATCTCAACATATTTTTTTCGTTCTATGTTTGTGTTAGCTTTAGTATGCCCAGTTTTGGGACTTAAATGTCATTCTCTGTTTTCTTTTTCCTTTTTTTGAGTTATGAAGTCTGATAGGGTCAGGACTACTTTACATGATTGAGGCCTACATGGCTGAAACATTGTGTTCTTTTTATCAGGTGCCAGGCCATATGTGATTTTAATAAAAGATTTTTTATCATTTTATACCCTCAAATGTGATGCCGATGTTGTACAAAGAGTGTGGAGATAGCAATTTGTCTTAAAAAACAATGTCCTGTCAATTCACTTGATTAAATGAGCTAAAGTGCTCACACCACGCCTTACTTACCTTTCTCCACTCATTTCCTCTTCTCTTCCTTTTTTCTTACTCTGTCTTTATTTTCCTCTCTTTTTAGCTATTTCTAACTAAAAACATAAGACAAAGTAGGGACTACTTTGTCTTATGTAGTTTTCCTTTGCCTCGCTTTCATAGACATTGGGTGGAGCTTACGTAAGAGCCACTTCCTTTGTCAAGTACATTTCTCCCAGAATACGTTCTAAGCCGGCCTTTCTCGCGATATCTTCCTTCACCCTTTCCGTGCACAGGTGAACTGGTCTGGTGTGGGCAGAACAAGACGTTATTATCGTTATTACCAGGACAACTAAAATGGTGTCACTAAGGAAAAAGATCCAGACCAAAAACAAAGAACTAAAAAAATGTGAAATTTGGGGATAGAGTTATTTTATACATATTGGAGGTACAATGAAGAGTAGGGTAGTAGAGGACTAAAAAAAAAACAACAGATGTGGCCATGACAATGCTACTTTAAGCTTCTACTACTTAAGTTTGTATTGTGGAGATGGCCATTTTGGATTGCATCACAATTTCAAATCCCTCAGTGACATCATCCGATTAAATATCTGCAATGTCAGCAGTCAGTTAGAATATGCGATTTGCTGAATAGCCCCCTGCAACTTCCTCTACAATTAAGTGGAAAAGGTTGTGTGAACTTTAAATGCCCACTGTGCCAAAGGAAATCAAAGGTTATGAAAGCTTTTTACTATTTATTATTGAACAAAATGCCATACAGATTTAGAAAGCATGAACTCAAGATATAGAGAGTTTTTAAAGTGCTATATGTATAGAAATGTTCTAAAGCTCAAACAGAGACAGCCATGTGCTGACATTCACAGACAGGAACTTACATAAATTGGCACACACAGACAAAAACTTTAGCCATGAATCTCTTTGAACTCACACTCAGCCCAGAGCAGTGAATTGCTAGAATACCTCTCTAGGCTGCTTTTTCTGCCTGTTCTGCTCCATAAGTCTCTGCAGCTTCCAGCTGAAACTCGCGGAGTAGACCAAGCATTGAGAGTGGCACAGAACCTGTGATTCTGGGCTTGAGGCTGCTGTAGAGCCTTCTTGCAAAGGAGCTCCACAGGCCCCGCCACCTTCTAGCGACACATCCGGTGACACCATTTCAGAGGACCACCACTGACAAGGTAAACCAAATCCGACAAACAAAATTCTTGATTTGCCAGAGTGCTGACTTCCCT